CACACAAATCAATCTCTGAATCACAGCTTATTTCACCAATCAACTAACCTTGATCCTGTTGATGCAGACACTAACAAAGCTGCGGTTCTCACGGAATGCTTTTTCTGCTGAGGAGAAAGATGCATTCAAAGTAGTATTCTGATTTCTTGTATCAGTTTTAATTCTCCTGCTGGAGTAGAGAAATATAATGCTTTTGTTTGTAGGATCTGCTGAAAGGAGACGACTTTTATAGGATAAGAATTCCATCCAATGTGGTCAGTCCTCCAGGGAAAGAATTTGTGATTGCATCAGTGAGAGCTGTAAGTCAATCTACAGTGGAATAAAATGATTAGTATTTCTCTAAATCATATCCAATTTGTTTCTAACCGGACAAGAAAAGATAGCCTAGACTCATGGGGATTTGTTTGTTGAAGTCACAGTTTTTTTTTGTAATTTGGTTTCTTTCCTTTCTTTTCTCGCTTTTCCGTCAGATGATTTGTCTGATTAAATACATATACATGTTTGATTACAGAGATGTCTACCACGGGATGGCTTGGATGAGCATTTCATTATACACATGGTACAAAACGTTTCTGAGCTCAAAATTTGGTTTACACCCTAGCATTTAACTACTCGGTGAATGACAGAAATATTTGGGACTAGGACAATGATTCATAAATGTGTCGTGTCTCTCTCGGTCAGTTTACTTGTTGTACTGTCTCCGCTTACAGGAAGGTGCCAACATCTTGGCAGTTAGTTATGGTTCTCCTGGGGCTTGTCAATATCCTCGACAGTTCAAACTTGTAAGTGAACACTACTATCCTATCTTTATCTTTTTAGTTTAAACTCTTAGCTGAGATAAATAGAGCATGGGCTTATCCTCCCTAGTTTTTGGTCTAGATTCTGATTTACTGCTAAGTTAGAATGCAGATGATGTAACTGACTCATTATTTTTCCATCTGCCAAATTTTTTCTGTGATTGAATATAGTTTTAGTCATATTCTTAGTACCGGTTTGCACCTTCTTTTGCTACTTTGTATTGGTATCTTCAGCAGAAGTAACTATCTGTAAGCTTTCTGTTATAAGTTGATAAATCCGAAAAACATTCACGAAGAAATTCCTTAAGATAAGACATGTGGAAGTATTGTCCTAGGATCATTGTAAACATTCCACAATTGTCTCCTTTGTGAGTGTGTGAGTCGTATTGACTTTCCACATTCTGAATTCCTTTCTTTTCATCTGTGCACTATATAAGGGGAGTGTGGTTGAGTGGAAGGATAATCTTTGCTTTTGGATTGCTTCGAGCTCATTGTGTCCTCGAGTAAACAGAGTAGGAGATTCGTGGGTCTCCCAAAATGTCAGCAAAAGTTATCTTTTCCGATAAAATCTGACATTGGGTTCTGTTACATATCTTGTCTTAACTGAACTCTGAAACCCTAAATTGATGAAGATAGAAGGTTACATTTATGATGGAGCTTGTGATTTGATTATCCATACATTCTAATTTATGTTGTTTTTTCGCTTATTGTAGCCAGCAAAATGGTCTTTCAACTCCCACACAATTCTGAAGAGCAGTGAGCAGGCACCAAGGTAGAACAATTGCTGTGTTTTCTGCATCAAATGGCTTAACTTTGCACAAACCTGCACATCTATATATTTTACATGTGTTCTATCAAGTAACCAATCTTTTTGCCAGTTCATCATGTTATTATATCAATAGTAAACCTTTTCCTCCACCCCTTAGCCCAATAACTAGTTTTTTTTTAAAAAAATCTCATCCTTACCCAACTGTTCCACAGAACTCCAATATTCACTGAGGAGATTCTAGGCAGTGAGAATGCAGAGAGCGAAGTGGAACCACCACCAGAGAGATCATTTTGGGCAAAATATGTGAGTAATACAATAAAGATCTTTTGATGGTTCCTTGTGTTTTAGGTCTTAATGTAAATTCCATATGATACTCTAGTGGATGTACTTGATACCGCTGGGACTCGTAGTGATGAACGTCGTGACACAAGCATCAAACGTAGCGGAAACACTAACAGGTGAACAGGCAGGAGCACAAGTGCAGCAATCTGTCAGGAGAAGATGATCTCACTTTGACTTCTCCTAAAGCTATCGAAAGGTAGACCATGTTCCAATTTCTATGACCATATATCTTTTTTTACCGAGATGTCCGTAATTCTTCTTGAGCTAAGGAGGGACGGCCATGTGAATAGATTTCTATAAGGCAGGATAGCTTCGCAGCTGTGCATTTATTTAAACTATTTGGTTATAAGTAAGGTGAAAGTAACACAGTTGGGAATTTATGATGGAAATATCTGAAAGGTTTAGGGAGATATACATGTGTGTTTGAAGCGAGTAATAAGTATTAGATCTGATTGTTAGCTTATGTTGTTGCAGCTGCAGCTGCAGCTGGTTAGAGATGAAGGTTTAACTGATCTCATGTGGTACCACTTCTTCAAGTTAAACATCTTTTAATCATTTGGTTTTTATTAGTCTTGTTTGTACGCTACAAATTGGAAATCAAAAAATCTTTGAACTTGATAACCTTTCTGATAACTAGAGACTTCATGACATCTCTAGAACAAAGACATTGAGCAGCTTTATGTCTTGTTTTGACCGCTTTCGACTTCAACCAAAATTCTTCAAATTTGGCAAAATAAAAGAATCCATAACATAGGTAACTAAAAACTCTCGTTAACAAAGGAAACCTGGAAGTTAGCTAATAAACAAAGCTGAACATTTTCTAAAAACAAAGAGAGAATCTGGTCGGGTTGGCTTGAACAAATTCCGTAATTACCAGAGAGAGATAGAGACGAGCACATTCCATACTCGAAGGGATCGTTCACAATGCAAGAGTGTTTGATGCATTTATATTTAATAAGATAATCAGGAAACAAAACAAAAACAAAAACAAAGTTCCTTCAACGACCTCTCGTAACGTAAATCATGCTGCAGGAACACCTCTAATAATACTTGATGAAACCAAAGTAGAGCACAATACACTTTTCCATTCTCAGGAAACAAAAACAAGAAATACCATGTTTGCTTCTTATTGGGCTAACCAAATCTCTAGACACAGCAAGGCATGATGCATCAAGGCTTAAGAATTTGTTTCTCTTTCACTTAGCCTGAGGATGAGAAGCAATAAAGTCGACCGCTAGATCAATGGACTGGATCTTGTCTGCTTCGTTATCCAGGATCTCAAACCCAAATTCCTCCTCTAATGCCATCACAACTTCAACACTGTCCAAACTGTCCAACCCGAGATCATTTTGGAAATGTGCCTTTGGTGTCACCTGCAATAACCACAATACAAAACGCATTATAACAGAATCCTTCAAGCATAGTTATTCAAAAATACATGTTATTTTTTATCAAATTTTTGTTCACCGAGAAAAGTGGATTGCAACACAGACTACAAAGCATTGAAATCAAACACTTGAGTTGCTGATCAAGAGAGCTAAGAAGCACTACAACTTCAATACAAAGCCTAGTGTCAGCATAAATGCACAAATGATCATTCAACTAAACTTCTCAAAGGCTTCTAGCAAGCACTCCACGCTCGAACCACAACTTTTCAAAGATATGCAACTTCAATTAAAGCAAACAAAAGTCTTATAAATCCTCTTCTACAAGATTGCGAAACTTTCGGAAATCTCAACCTAATCAAAGATGGAGAGATGGAAGAAAAGCTATCACTAGTACCATCTACGAAGATAAGTAATTAAATCAGTGAAATGCAGTTTTCATCAGCTAGAAACGCCTGTACACAACTAGTATGAGCAAAAGGCTATACAGATTGATGCAATGTAGTTTTCAGATTGTTCCAATGTTGATACTCATACACATATCAAAATATATGTGAGCACAAGAATGGCCAAAAGAACCACATTTCACAATTACGATAAAAAATTTCTTCTTACAAGTAAAATAAAATGCTGAATCCTAATTGCAGAGTGACAGACTAGGTTAAATATATTATTGTCTTGGTATTGAAATGAAGACTAAATCCCAGCTGCATACAAAGATCTAACCATATCCAGGAATGCATATGACGTTGGGATGCAACAAAAATCAGATAAGCTTCAGTTCTAAAAGTCTGTCTAGAGAGTAAATCGCAAAGCAGAATCACTTGGACCGAAGAAATGGGACGCATCGAAGGAATATACCTTAGCGGGATCGACTCTTTGAAAGTTTTTGACGACAGTGATAACGCGATCTGTGACTTCAGATTTGTCAAGAAAGGAGCCTCGAACTTCCTCGGAGAAACGGCGAAGAAGTAGAGTGAAAGGGAGTGCAGATTCACGAGCGCCGATTGAAGGGTTCACAAGTGATGGATTAACGTTGACTCTAAGGTATCGGAGCAGAGCACCTCTCGCCGCCATCGCTGTGTTGTTTCAC